ACCCAAACCAATCTATGATTCTATGAATATTTCTGCCAGTTATTTCATACTACGTTCTTAATACAATGGATATTGTGTTTCTGGTTTTGTGTATTTAGTAGTTTCCTTATTAAGGCACAATACAAAATATACTTTAGCCTCTCGCACAGAAATACAAAATGTAATATATATACAAACCAGGGCTACAAAACATGTTTTACTAACCAAGGCAGACAAACCCTCAAGCTGTCATACCAAAAAGTCTTAAAACTGTATCATCTTAAAACATAATGTATCGTGAACTTGGCACAGGTCTGTAGCACGGGAAGGTACAGAGCAGTAAGTACTAGTTTTCTGTCACATCCAGGGCAACAATCAAACAACTGATCTGAAACCTTAAATTCCAGTCCTGGTGAGACCGCATCTGGAATATTGTGTCCAGTTCTGGGACCCTCAGTTCAAGAGGGACAGAGAACTGCTGGAGAGAGTCCAGCGCAGAGCCACAAAGATGATGAAGGGAATGGAGCATCTCCCTGCTGAGGAAAGGCTGAGGGAGCTGGGTCTCTTTAGCCTGGAAAAGAGGAGACTGAGGGGTGACCTAATCAATGTTTATAAATACGTGAAGGGTGAGTGTCAGGAGGATGGAGCCAGGCTCTTCTCTGTGACATCCAGTGACAGGACAAGGGGCAATGGGTTCAAGCTGGAACATAGGAGGTTCCACTTGAATATGAGAAAAAACTTCTTTACAGTGAGGGTGACAGAGCACTGGAACAGGCTGCCCAGAGAGGGTGTGGAGTCTCCTTCTCTGGAGACATTCAAAGCCCGCCTGGATGCGTTCCTGTGGGATCTGATCTGGGTGTCCTGCTCCGGCAGGGGGATTGGACTAGATGATCTTTCGAGGTCCCTTCCAATCTCTAACATTCTGTGATTCTGTGTAACTAGAGACATCCATCTCCCTCATGCTCAGTCTCTCTCAGCAAAAAAATTCTTTCTTGCTGTGTCCATTCCAACTCCTCATCTTTCCGTTTGAAGATCCCATTAGATCCTGCACCCAAGGAGTGACTCACTCAGTCCCTCTTGGACTGTATAAATTCATTGAGTTATGCTCTCTTATGCTTCTGCTCTGACATCTACCCATCAGCTACCCAGCCGTTCAGCTGTTAACGTGTTTGCACTCCTGGTGGACGCAGTCTCCACATTACTGGATCCTGGAAACAAAACTACTAGGAAACAGTAAAGGTATTAAGTGCCATTCATCCGTACTTAAGAAAACAACACAGCAAAGATTAAGAACTGAATCGCCATATGTTTGCAAGAATATTTTTGTCTTTCCTCAAAAACTTGGTACCTATGTCCCTTCATCTTTTTTTAAATTTTCATATAATAGTTTGGTTAATGTTTGTGGCTCAAAGTCTTAAAAAAAAAAAAGTATTTCACTTTTTTAAAGTTTGCCATTCTGGAATCAGTGACCATATTTCAATACTTCACTCCTCAATGTTTTAGTGCAACCATATTTAATAGAGGCTGGATATCATCAGATTAGCAAAGTAATGTGTATCATAGCACTGCATATTCTGACCAAAGGACAAAAAAATCTTGCATCCTAAACAAATACAAATGCATCATATTTCATTTTAGCAACTTCTTCACCTTATTACAATATGTTTATTACTTTCCTGCGAAAAACCTGAACAGAAGCCTAACAAAAATATGGGGAACTTTCAGGTGTTGCATATTTCTGGGTGATGCAGAACAAACACCCTATATCACTCTGAAAGCCTTTACACAGAGAAGGTGCAACGGTAACAAGCATGAATTTTACTTGTTTCTCTCCTTCAACCAGGTTCTTCTGAGGAAAGACGAGTTTATAAAAAGGCCTTGGCCAAGATATTTGGATCAAACATCACAGAAGGACACACAGAATCTCCAGATGAAAGATCTTCAGAGACAATTAGAAACCCTGGGATCTCTGGGAAATTCAAGCTGACCGAACCTCCAGTGTTTGGCAAAGACATTACCCTGATCTTAATTCTCAATAACTTATCTATTGACCAGAAGACCGTGAAGGTCGACGTGAGTGCGTCAACCATCCTGTACACAAGGAGAGCAGTGTCAGAGATCCTGAAGGCAACCACTTCTGTGGATCTTGGTTCTAAACAAGGTAACTTTTAATGTCCCTGAGGAGCCAATGTCACCCTCTTCTTAGGCACGTGAAGGCAAGTGGAAGGAAGAAGCATCAGTATCATACCTATATCAGCCTTGTTCCATCTTTTAATAGCATTGTTTATGACTACCTTTTACAATTTATTTATTTTTAACTCTGAAAACTTTCATTAGTTCAACCAGGAATTGAAGGTCTCATGAAATACTATACAGAAAGCTACATTTATATTATAGCTCCAGAAACAACACCATATGTATGTGTCACATGTGTATATATATAGCTGTGCACGTGTGTGTGTCTGTGGTGATTATTGCATGTATAGGAACATATCTTGCTCTTTTAACAGATAAAAAAAAGTGATGTATGCTTTCTGGCACTTAACAGGCAACACTTTAATAGAAATTAACTCAGAAAAAGGCTAAAAGTTGCAGTGAAACTCTGTCTCTCTTTTGAAGTGTCAAGGTTATTAAAAGTATTATAGAGAACTTTTTCATCCCCAGGGGTTCCAAAGATAAACATTTTTTTTTCCCCATACACAGCAGAAAAGTTGTAGGATTACAACAATTAGCAGCTGACCAGGTCACTTGAAAAGGATCCCTGTGAAACTTGACTCAAACTTTCTTCTTGACTGAGGTAAAACATGTAGGATATAAGGAGAGAATAGATAAACATGGTTAAACCTCTAATTATAAGAAATACAAAGGGACAGGAATCCAGCAAAATGCAGATGAGCAGATTCCCTCAGTTTCAGGCCAAAATCCTCCATTCAAAACTGTAAGGGACAAATGAGTTAAAGTAGAAAAGGATCACCAGAAGAGAGAAATACACAACCAGTTTCACAAGGAAAAAATACAAACAGACTCCAGCTGTCTTATCTTCTGTTCTCATCAGTAATTCCAAAACCCCTCCCAATAACTCTTTTCTGTAGCATTCTTTGAGAATGTAATAGTTCCTAAATATATGTCTGAATTCCAGGGAAACATATCCAGATAAAGATCCCTTATTCTTATTATGGAAAATATCTGACTACTGACAAAAGGATCCAAGTTACTGCTTTATGTGAAGTCATGCACATGCATGGGGCAAAGTTGCTGGTGGAGAAGACAATCATTTTAGAGGACACAAACATTATAATTAAGGTAAACAATTCTCTCCCTGGTATTCTGAAAGAACTAAAGTGTCCTTCTGGAGCTCAGAGCTTACGATGAGGATTTGGGGATAAATGCATTAATTTATGCTGCAATTTCAGATATTGCTCTAAAATTCTGCCTGCTTAAATTGAGAAACTCAGCATGCGAGAGAACAATTTTTAATCTTTGCCTGAATCTGCCCCCTGTTCTTCAGAACAGCTGTGTTACATTCTTTCTTTCCCAGTCACGTGCCACTGCTTTATATTCACAGAACTTGTTTTAATTTCATCTGTATTCTAGTTATTGGCAAGTGCTTGTGTTGCCTTCAAACAACCTTGCCTACTCCCAAAATACAGACTTAAACTCTTAATTCTAATCTATGTTACGGCCAGTTTATATTGTTTTAATACTTTAATCCTAATCAATGATGTCCCAAAAAAGCAGCCACTCAGCAACCCAAAGATCAGACAGGTTTAATGAGACGTGTTTGTAAAGTTAGGGCTATATTTCACTGAAATTGTGCACAAAATCTTGCATACGGCTTGAGAGCACTATTTAGCTAATCCAAATACAGCTTCAAGTATTAGGAAAGGAACATCACCCGTCAGTTAGATTTCACTGCTCCTACAAATACCTCAAACATCCTCAAAAATGAGATGCTCTGCTTAAAGTTTGACTGAAGTCTGACTCCACAAAAGTGTAAAACATTGCGTGATCAGAAACGTGTCTCTGTCATTTAGATTCCTCGGCGGGTTGTAGTGAACAAAGCTGCTACTCTAGAGATTTCATACGCCAATCCCCTCCCTGAACCTGTGAACCGCTGTATACTGCTAGTGACTTTGATGAATCAACAGGTCAAGATACAGTAAGTGAAAGCTGTAGCATTTACTCAGTGCTTCTAACGTGACCAATAGCATTTCTAGTTTCTCAATAAGAAAAAAATCATGGTTGGTTTGTCTCTTTCATTTTTTTTTATCTAGGAAAATAAAAACGCCACCAATATATACTGAGATATTCTCAGTATGATTTCTCAATCATGTATTATTTTTTCCCCACATAAGAACTTCTTTAACAACTAAAAACTGCTAACATTCTTCCTTCCTGGGAAAGCAAATGGGCATGTCGCATTCTTGTGTCTCTCCAATATTTATTCTACAGCTTGGCTTCATGTTTCTATTTTTATATACAGTGCCCTAATACTAGAAAAATAAGTCTGAGCTAAAGCAAATCAATAAGACTGCCATAGCACCCTTATTTCAGCCCAAACAAGAAGCTGCTCTGTTCTTCTTTAAAGTAGGAGAAAATCATGCCTTTTCAAAACATAGGAGCAAAATGTTGTATTACTGTTTCATTTTCCTCTGGACTGTTTGGCTTTATGCATTAACTAAGTGTTGTGTAGTTCACATTTCCTAAAACTTGTTTAATTATAAAACAGTCTGACTTGCTGTGGCTCTGGAAATACTTGGACATAGTAATCCATAAAAATACAGAAAACATTATTCCACTGAAAGACTAAGCCAATTTAGGCCAAAAAGGAGACACACAACAAAGCACCCTGGCCACTAGAAAAATTGTATTATTGCCAAAATGGATATGAACCAAGCAGGCATTGGACAGAGCACTGGCCTTTGACATCAGAGTTTTCCAATTCCAAGTTTGTGTTGACTATCCAAACCTGTACCCAGCCCTAATACAGAGGTGTGTCATAGCACTTCTCACTTCTGTCAGTCTATTCAAGAGTAAGTGAAGATGGTACTATGTTTTCTCATTTCTTAGTCTACACAAAGCCTCAAACCCCAAGTAATTCTTAAAGCCCAAGGCCAGGTCTCAGGTAACTGTTGGTGCCCTAGCTATCATTCAGTTCTGCTTCTTGGGAATCTCAATTAAAGACAATGCAAGTCTGAATTAATTTACTTTTTTTTTTTCTTTTCTTTTTTCAGTCTGGCACCACTGGCACCAAGGGAGAGATCAAAAATTTATTTTGAATTCACACCTCGCAGGACTGGGCCCTTACAGCTGCAAGTAGACTTCTCTTGTGACAAATTTTCACACGTTAAGGGATTTGTGACCATTGCAGTGGCACCTGCATAATGTGACTGAATCAATCTCCTACTTCGGCATTAACATGGCATGTATAGGGACAGTGATGACAGCAAGAAACTTCCCACAAAAATTGGTTACCTCTTACATTGCAATAGAATCAAGCCTCCTGCTTTCACAGTGCTTAATTATTTAGTATCTAATTGCCTCTTTTTTTTTGTCCTCTTCTCTAGAAAAATGAAACCCCTTCCTTGTAGACATAGCTTCACTGTTTTATCACATCTCATCGTGTTAGGCTCCCGGTTTTGACTTTTCCATCATTTAATTACTACAGTCTCTTTGTGACCACATTCTAATTGTCAGCAAGAAATAAAAACTATTCATATAACTGTATTCTTTTGTAATGAATTGTACATTCCATGGAAATATGAGAAATCACAAGGTAGAGGAAAATTCTTTCTTTCATTTAAGTTTCTTGCATAAAAAGGTAGAACATTTCATCTATTGTTCATTTAACTTTTTAATTTTGTGATACTTCTACCTCTGTGAATGGGAGGAAAAAAGCCTATGAAGGCTAGAAAAAGAAATGTTTGGGGTCCATGACAACAATATTTCTGTACCCTGTAGGCACAGGCCTGTCACAGAGGGGACAACACACGTACATATCAAAGCAGTACCATGGTGGAGTCCCAAGCATCACAAAGCACAGGGGGAGTCTTGCGCTAACATAGAAGATCAGCAACACAAGGTTACCAACACCTTTTGCCCATTGGCATAAGGTCACTGGAGACAAGGAATGTGTTTACCTTCAAACCTTCCCAATGTCTGTCAGTGACAGGCAGCACCTATCCCCATCCCTGTTGCAGCATTTGAGGACAGATGCCTCTGTTGCAGGTTCCTGATCCCAGCAGCACCAGGTACCAGGTCTCACACTAAACACACTTTCAAGAGACCTGAAGGACTCGCTATTAGTGCCGGCAAGGAGCCTCTCTAAGGACTGCCACGGAAGACAGCGAGCGAGAGGGCACAGTGAGCACCTTGCCGCATTTCAGAAGTGGGATGGGAGGCACTAATGGTGCACAAGGGCCTCTGCCAAGCCTGGAGAGTTAGACTGGTTTTCCAACTTACAAAATGTTTAAAGCAGAACTAATAAGGCCAAAATTCTGAACCACAGAGCTGTCAGGAGTTCCCTATGGACAGCTTTTGTCTGAAACGTGATAATATTTCAGAGAGTCTGATGCATCCAGAGATGATCACAAATTCTTACTGGAAAAAAAATACACAAGAAACCACAACAAAACTTTAGATTCCTTTTTTTTAAAAATAAATTCAAGCTGTAGGTAATTAATTTGCCTTTTTGGTTGGAAGCAATCTTGATATGAATCTGGAAAAAAACCTGAAAACAGCAGCAGACAAAACCAGACAGTGCAGAAGTGCAGAGGTAGGGAAAATAAGAGGATCACCCCTTCTCCACTTATACCCTTCACTCCTCAGTCACAGTCCAATGGAAGTTCAGAACAGTGTGCAGACTTCTCTCAGGACAAATTGGCACGGCATGTTTCTAGATAAGTTGTAACACAGTGTCGTGGTTTATAAAACCACGGG